CCCCAAAACCCCAAAACCCCAAAACCCCTCCTTGTTTTGGAAATTTTGAAAAATATTTTAATTCAAAATGTTGCATGGCGCATATTTTAGAGACTCTGATGAAGACGAAGATATTATTTCAGGAACCTCTCAAGATCCTCTGAGTATCACCACTGGAGTTCCAAGTAAGAAATTTGCTATTTTAGTCCAAAATTTTGTTATTGACTTTGGTTTAGGAGCTTTTAAAGCAAAGAATGATGTGCTTGGGCATGAAATTGTCAAAGAAATTGAGTTCCAGAAAGATCACATTCTTTCAGTTTATGATACCAAGACTATGGCTCTGGAATTGTGTTCCCCTCCTGTTTCAAAATACTTTGTAATGGCTCTGGACTCTCTCATAGAGTCTAGCTTGATCCAGATCAGGCACTTGAAGATTTCAGGTGCGAGTGTAGGGACTTGCTCCAAGATCCTGACTGTGATAACGAAGCATAAAAGGTGCCCCTTGACTGTTGATTTGAAGATTAAGGGTAAATCTTCTCTCAAAATCGGTAAAAATATTGGTAAACTCCTGAAATGGAAAAAGAATGGAGACCTCAGAGGTATCAAAGAGACTCAGATTCTGTGACTCGAAGACCTTCAGATTGATAACCCTGATATTCTCTGAGCTATTTTTGGGAAGAAAATTTATAAGAAAGGGCCAATCTGATTGGTCGAAGAGCTAATCATGCAAGATATGGGGCTCACGGATGAGACTCTACAAAGTTTTGATGAAGACAGTAGTAATCTTTTCGCATCTTTTGCGTTATTGAAGCATTTCTCATTTTCTGGGAATCATTTAAGCATCCATGGAATTCACTGGATCACTAAAGGGATGATCAAGACTGAAAATTTGTTCTTAAAAAAGATCAACTTGAGTAGGATGGGAATTGCGTCGAAAGGAGTAAAACTATTTGTACAGGGATTATCCAACTGCAAGATGTTGAAACACCTTGACTTCCGACATAACAGTATTGATGATTCTGCCATGGCCGATCTTTGACTGCTAGTTGATCCATATTCATCAATAAGAATCAAGTTGACATCATTAGACTTGAGTTATAACAGGCTAACTAGTGTGGGATGTTCACGCCTATTGATATGCTATAAGTCCAAGAAGACTAAAACCATGAAGAAAAGCACTAAACCTCCAAGGAAATGAAGTTTAAGACAGATCGATATCTGAGGAAACAAGATCGATGTTGGGATCATCAACTCTTTCAGGGCTGCTCTCGAAAGCAGCCGAGTGCTTTCTCAAAAGGAGATTTCGAGTTGCATCAAGAAGTGTCTCTCAGCTGATCAGGAAGTGAAGAGTATGGATTTAAGAGAAATAGCCTACTCTGTAGCATCTAAAGAGATGAAAAATGACTCCATCCCGAGTATCAGGTTTACATTGACCAAGCAGAGGAGGAATAAACAAAATGACGAGAATAAGAACAGCATGAATACCCGTGAGAAAGTCATGGATTATTCTGAGAAGGTCAGAGAAATGAACAAGAAAGAGACATTACTGAATTCAAAGCCGAGTTATTATTCCAAACAACGCAGTTGTAACTCTGAATCGGCATATAGCATTGGTACTTCCTTTGTGCTAAATTCTATAGAGAAATCTGGCCTGTCTGACTCAACTGACAACTTTGTGACCAGTTATCAAAAATATAGAGAAATAAGGAGCGAAAGAGTCGAATCTGCTATTAAAATTCAAGACAGGACCGAAAGGGTCGCTGAAGATTGTGATAACATCTCTCTTGACTACTCTTTATCCTCTTCTGATGACGCTCAAGAGGAGACTAAGACAATCTCCTCTGTATCTGATTACTACAGTGCAGGGAAGAGCAAATTCATTGAGAAGGTTGACCAGAGCACACTTGATTTAGCATCTGATTTCCATCGCTATAAGGACCAGATTGAGAATGCAACTATCGATAAGAGCTCTTGAGGTATTACTGACTCTGTTGGCAATACTCTGTCAGAGATCTCTGAGAGTGTGGATACCCAGAAAGAAGCCATTATCTCCAACTATAATAAGCTATTGAAGGATATTAGAGGTGTTATAAAGACTCAGAGGCAGAATATCTTGCAAAGAACACATCAGTTTGAGTCTTCCTCTGATAGTGACTATTAAATGTATTTTCAATGAGTAAGATATTTTTAGGGGTTTTGGGGTTTTGGGGTTTTGGGGTTTTGGGG